CTACTGGTCTGTCCATATCATCACTTAGAGTCAATGTAGCAGCAATTGCGGCTTTACACCGTCCCATTGAAGGGAGGTTGGTGTTTTCCCATCCCATGATGACAAGGTTCTTTAAAGGTCTCATTATCCTCAATCCACCATACAGACCCCCGCCACCTACATGGAGTCTTGACCTGGTCTTAGATGTCCTAACACAACCACCGTTTGAACCCTTAGCAACTGTACCGATGCCGGTCCATACAATGAAAGTACTTTTACTCCTCGCTATAACGTCGGCGAGCAGGGTGAGTGAGCTCGCAGCTCTGATGTCATCACCCCCTTATACAGTTTTTACCAAGGACGCCATAACATTAAGATCTCATCCAGCCTTTCTACTGAAGGTCTACACTGAGTTTCATATCAACGAGCCAATCGTTCTACCATGCTTTTATCCAAAACCTCACACGTCTTGTCATGACTCTCTCCTGCTCACTCTAGACATCCGCCGGGCACTAGCATTCTATATAGATAGAACCCGTGATGTTAGGAAGATGGACCGTCTTATTGTTTCCACTTCAGGGCATTCTAGGGGCCAACCCCTATCGGCCCAATGCATTTCAAATCTCGTCGTCTCTTGCATTACAACCTGCTACGACATCTGTAAGAGGTCGCTTCCATCACAGCCTTGGGCCCACTTTACGTGGGCAATGGCTACGTCAACAGCCTTTGTGAGAGGAGACCCTCTATGTGACATATGCCACGTGGCTACCTGGTCTTGTAACATGACGTTCTCAAGGCATTATGCAATCGTGCAGTGCCTGGCTTCCGATTCAGCAGTGGCCTTAGCAATGCTGCCAAGCCATCAGAATCGTGATTCCGTAGCCCACATCTAGTGGATTATTGCTCCGGAGTCACCAAACGTGGAGCACCCATGGGGACTACCCGAAGAAGAAAGAGAAGTTACTCACCTCCGGTGCAGTAACGATGGTTCTTCAAGGTGTATCCGCGTGGGTGCTCCACGACCCGCCCTCCTCCCTGCTACAGGATCTCATTAATTTATCTCTTGCCGATGGGCGGTGAGAGGAACTGGTGGGTGCCAGATTGCGCACAGCTGATCAAAGGCGCGAAAGCTGCTCGTGCATGCGCGATCCGGCTGATGACAGCTCTGGCAAACTCTGATTCGCGGTGCCGGGACCAGCCCAACACCAGACATGGAGCACCCACCGGGACACACCTCGAAGAACCATCGTTACTGCACTGGAGGTGAGTAACTTCTCTTTATTAGTTTTAAACCTGCTCCCCATTAATTTCATTTGGTGTCCTCTAGTCCTTATATTATGGGAACAAATGAATAACTTTTCTTTATTCACCCTCTTCACTCCACTCATGATTTTATATACCTCTATCATATCACCCCTCAGTCTCCTCTTTTCAAAACAGAAAAGTCCCAGTTGCTTTAGCCTTTCTTCACATGGGACCTGTTCCAAACCCCTAATCATTTTAGTTCCTCTTTTCTGAAACCTTTCCAAGGCCAAAATATTTTTTGATGTGAGGAGACCACATCTGTACACAGTATTCAAGATGTGGGCGAACCATAGTTTTATACAGGGGCAGCAAGGTATTCTGTGTCTTATTTTCTATCCCTTTCTTAATAATTCCTAGCATCCTATCTGCCTTTTTGACCACCGCAGCACACTGTGTGTACGTTTTCAGAGAACTATCCACGATAACTCCAAGATCTCTTTCCTGATTTGTCGTAGCCAAATTAGCCCCCATCATACTATATGTATAGTGGGGGTTATTTTTTCTGACGTGCATTACTTTACACTTATGCACATTAAACTTCATTTGCCATTTTGTTGCCCAATCACAGTTTTGTGAGATCTTTTTTAAGTTCTTCACAGTCTGCTTCTGTCTTGACTATCTTGAATGGTTTAGAATCATCCGCAAACTTTACTACCTCACTGCTTACCCTTTTCTCTAGATCATTTATAAATAAGTTGGATAGGATTGGTACCAGGACTGACCCTTGGAGGACCCCACTAGTTACCCCTCTCCATTCTGAAAATTTACCATTTATTCCTACCCTTTGTTTCCTGCCTTTTAACCAGTTCTCAATCCATGAGATAAGTTCCCTCTTATCCCATGACAATGTAATTTATACAAGAGCCTTTGGTGAGGGACTTTGTCAAAGGCTTTCTGAAAATCTAAGTATACTATATCTACTGGATCCCCCTTATCCACATGTTTGTTAACCCCTTCAAAGGACTCTAATAGAATCATAGAATCATAGAGCTGGAAGAGACCTCAGAAGGTCATCAAGTCCAGCCTCCTGCTCTAGGCAGGACCAATCCCAACTAAATCAACCCAGCCAGGGCTTTGTCAAGCCGAGACTTAAACACGTCTAGGGATGGAGACTCCACTACTTCCCTAGGTAACCCATTACAGTGCTTCACTACCCTCCTAGTGAAATAGCTTTTCCTAATATCCAACTTGGACCTCTCCCATCACAACTTGAGACCATTGCTCCTTGTTCTGCCATCTGTCACTACTGAGAACAGCCTTTCTCCATCCTCTTTGGAACCTCCTTTCAGGAAGTTGAAGGCTGCTATCAAATCCCCCCTCACTCTTCTCTTCTGCAAACTAAACAAATCCAAATCCCTCAGTCTTTCCTTGTAGGTCATGTGCTCCAGCCCCTTAATCATTTTGGTTGCCCTCCGCTGTACCCTCTGCAATGCGTCCACATCCTTTTTGTAGTGGCGGGCCCAGAACTGGACACAATACTCCAGATGTGGCCTCACCAAAGCCGAATAAAGGGGAATAATGACATCTCTGGATCTGCTGGCAATGCTCTTCTCAATGCAACCTAATATGCCATTAGCCTTCTTGGCTACAAGGGCACACTGTTGACTCATATCCAGCTTCTCATCCACTGTAACCCCCAGGTCCTTTTCTGCAGAACTACTACTTAACTGATTGGTCCCCAGCTTGTAACTGGGCTTGGGATTCTTACGTCCCAAGTGCAGGACTCTGCACTTGTCCTTGTTGAAACTCATCAGATTTCTTGTGGCCCAATCCTCCAATTTGTCTAAGTCACTCTGGACCCTATCTCTGCCCTCAAGCGTATTTACCTCTCCCCCTAGCTTAGCGTCATCCGCAAACTTGCTGAGGGTGCAGTCCATCCCCTCATCCAGATCATTAATAAAGATATTGAACAAAACCGGCCCTAGAACTGAACCTTGGGGCACTCCGCTAGAAACCGACCGCCATCCTGACATCGAGCTGTTAATCACTACCTGCTGGGCCCGGCCTTCTAGACATCTCTCCATCCATCTTACCGTCCATTTCTCCAATCCACATTCCCTTAACTTGCTGGAAAAACCTCTTCCTACAGAAGAATTGGGGAAAAAAGCAGCAGTATAAGGGTTGGGGATAGCAAGTGATGGAGAGGAGAATAGAGAAGGCAGGGCGGGGCTTCAAGGAAGGGGCGGGGTAGTAGATCTTGGCTTGTTCTATCATTTAAAAAGTGATCTTGGGTGTAAAAAGGTTGGAGACCATTGCTCTAGAGCTATCCTAAGAACGATAGGGATGTACACATCTCCCTATTGTCGTAAATGCTATACACCTTACTTCAAACAGAGGCCCCTCTCGTATATGGTGCCCAGATATACACAACACAACTGTGACAGACCGGGCCGTGTCTGGGCACAGCTGAGGGCATCCGCTCAGGGCGAATTGCTCGAATCCGGGGCTCCTTACAGCCCCTCGACTGGTGACCTCTCCAAACAGGCCACAAACAAGTCCCACAGAGCGCTTCAGCAGCCTGCCTGAAGCCTCACGAGCAAAACCCCTCCAACACCCCAGCAATAACCGTGCCCCAGATGGCCCTGGACCTCATACACAGGTGGGGGGTCCTAGCACCCAATCCCACCTATCCCGAACAAGTTCTGCCCGGTTCCAGGAAACCAGCCACAGATCTCTGGTCAGTTTATCCTTTGGACCTTACCCACAAATCACGCTGGGCCAATCCTTTAGCATCTAACAACTAAAGTTTTATTAACACAAGAAAGAAAAGCATGAGAGTAAAGTTATTAAAGTACAGTACGTTACATGCACCGAATCTCCCAGTCCTCGATGCAGGCTCTAGCAGAGGTGTTGCAGCTGCTGGTTTAAAAGTTCTTATTGCGCATCCTAAGATCAGGATGGGTCCACAGGTCTTTCGGGCCCTTCAATCCCTGAAATGCTGCCTCTGGGATGAAGTGCTGAGCTGAAGACAAAATGGCAT